CATGCATTCCCCCGCTAAGGATTATTCCCAATGGCTAGGATCAATATTTCAAACACCTGGATTTTCCGTCATTCCTGATGCTCAATCTACTCCATTTGTCTACATGAAAACAAATGATTCAAAAATGGGAAAAAAATCTAGTGTTGTGCCACGCCGACTACAGGAAAAAACTAATGATAAGGTGTCGGGAACAAAGTGTACACACCCATAGAAAAATCTTCCAAAGGTGTAGGTATTCCGTATTATGATTCCCCATCTTTTTCTGATACTTCTGATGACAATGACTTTAAAATGACAAAAGACGTGTTGACTGACAATAACGTAATTCAAAAATGGTCAGAACCATTAACATATAAAAGAGACAATTATGCTCATTTCATGTCAGAAGATTGTGAACCAGTTGATGCTATTTCAAAACTTTTAGTGGCAACCGAAAGAATCGATCTTCAAGAACTGCAGGAAAAACGACCAAAAATAGGTCAGATACTTATTACCCCTAGTGGACGATATTGTACCTATTCAATAATTGTTAAACAAAGACATTATGACAAAATTGACTGGCAAAATGTAATTGTAGTTTTGAAAAATCTTAAATTAGCTTTGAGCCGAGATACTCAATCTACATGTCGTATGGCAAATACAGGTGATTTGTTAGGTTCCCTTCCCCAAGGTAAAATGACAGAATTATTAACAAAAATATTCCGCGGTGGCGATATCACTATGATATTGTGCCACGGAAAAATTGAAGTTCCACCCCCAGAATTGAGGCCAAAAATTATTTCGGAATATCACGAAAGTCTACTAGCAGGTCACAAGGGGATAACAAAGACATATAGACGAATTAGGGAACGCTACCTTTGGCCTCGAATGCGAGATGAAATAACAGAATTTATACGAGGATGTCAGAGTTGCCTTTAAAATAAATTAGTTAGAGCTCGTACTCGTGAACCAATGATAATAACCGATACTCCTGCAGGTCCTTTTGACAAAGTATCCCTAGATACTGTAGGAAAATTACCTACTACCCCAAATGGGAATCGGTATATTCTCACTATGCAAGATAATTTTAGTAAATATTGCATAGCAGTCCCTATTTCCGATATAAAAACAACCACAACTGCTCATGCAGTAGCTACTCATTTATTCTCTCAGTTTGGAGCGCCTTGATGTGTTCTTACTGATCGAGGAGGAAGTTTTATAAGTTCACTCATGAGAAAATTGGAAAGAATTTTTGGAGTTAAACAAATTACCACTTCTGGCTACAGACCTCAAACCAATGGAGCATTAGAAAGAAGCCACATTGAGCTGACAGATTTTATTAAACATTATGCTGAGGATTTTGACGATTGGGATCGTCTTTTACCTTTTGCGATGTTTAATTATAATACATCAGTTCACGAGGCAACTAATTTCACTCCTTACGAGTTGGTTTTCGGAAAACTAGCTAGAATTCCAAGTTCATTTCCCCAAGGACCAGAGCTTGAGACTTATGGATCTTATTTAAAAGAACTTATAACTAGAATGAGCGAAATTCAGGGAATAGCTGCCAAAAATCTTGTCCAAGCGAAACTAAAGTCTAAAGAATATCATGATAGGACTGCCCGCCCTCTAAAAGCGAAAGTTGGCGACAAGGTGTTCGCGTATAAAGAAATCCGAGCGAATAAATTCGATAAGAGAGCCGAAGGTCCTTATACCGTAGTAGGATTTACTCAAAATAATAATGTAATCCTAGAAGATGAAAATAACGAAAGATTCTCAAAACATAAAGATAAATTAATGATGGCATATTGTTAATTAAAATCTTTCTCTTTTATCAGGCTGTGAAGAGATTGAAGCAAACTGTGTAAGGAGTACTAAAAAAAAATCAATATGTACTTAGCGTTGAAAATGCCACCTGCCAATTTTGAGGATGAAATAGTGTTAAATGGAGAAGAATATATAACGCTGATGTCCCCAGATTTAATTGTAGACGAAATAGACGTTTTACTATCTCTAAAAACAAAACACAATTTTATTTCTGTAAATCTTCTAAACGTAGCTTATGAAAATATTAGTCATTCTATAGAGAAAATAGGAAACGAATTTCTTTTAGTAGTTGGAAGTGTAGAATTAGAAGTTAACGGTGATGAAATTTTCTTTCTAGTTATAGACCCTAATACGGAATCATCTTATCAATTTAATACTGCGATAATTGGAACTAAAACTGCTATGACATTAGGATTAGTGTCAAGCCTAACTGTAGAATATTATTTTCAACATCACGTTTAATTATTAGGTATATATAGGTATTATTAATATTATTAATATTATTAATATTATTTTCAACATCACGTTTAATTATTAGGTATATATGCACTCAAAATTAGTGCATTTTTAGAAGTCTTGCGCCCCAATGTAGAAGATGTCCCTATTTCGGAAATTAGTCGGAAAAATCCACCATTAATTATCAAAAGATTATTAAAGGATTTCGAAAAATCATGGAAAATCCCAAGAACACTAGCTAATTTAGCATATAATGCCATATTGCTAGATTGTCTAAAAACTGCTCAAAATATTCATAATGTTAGAGTTGCTGGTCAAACAATGATCATTTATGATGAATCCGACAATGAAATTCTCGAATCATTGACAGTAAAAGTATTTTCTGGACAAAGGACAATATTTCGATTAAAATCTGGTTTTATTTGTCTATATCCCAATCTCTATGCTATACTAAGATCTATTAAAATCATAGATCCAAAAAGCCTTTTGTATAATTATGTAGTGTATGTTATTCTAAGCAGTAATACACTCACTCTTCAAATAGGTTTAGATATGGGTTTTTCTTCCTGGATATATTATCTAATAAACAACATGAATTGCTGTTTTAGGCCTTTACAATTTCTACCAGATGGTCAATGCTTACACATCTCCTTTCCATTGTCTCTCCCATTCAAGACAGCTATCCACAAAGCTAGGAAAAATAAACTAAACAAAATAGGAATAACTGATTTTCATGAAATACCTATAAATAGGAGATTTCCAAGTTGTTTGTGTTCATGTTTTGATTTACCACCATTGTTTAAAGAAGCAGAAGAGTCAAAATATCAAATTATAAATATACCCTATCCTTGGTATTTAAAAGATGATTTCGAATATATAGACCCTAATTTCATAGAACGTTACAATGAAGATGACTGGCGACAATCTACTATAGAAAGCTTGTTCGAAACTCACTTCAGGAAAGCGTTAGTCGTTGGAGGGCATTTTCGAACTATTACCTATTACGAAAAGGAACTCGGAATGTCAGATACGCATGTACGACCAAACGAGTGTGAATAGTGTCAGTCCTAATGTCAGTATGTATTGAAGAAATTCAAATACAAACACTGTTCTTATTTAAATTCAATTTTAACATTTATTTCTTCTGTAAAAAAATAGGAGGTCTAGATCCATTTCAATAAAAACTATCTGGAATATTTCACCACGACAAAGAAAGGATGGAAATTCCACTAGTAGGAGGCATTTTAGATGTGAAAAACTACATCGCCATTGGATTCAAGGTTATACTATTGCTAATGATGCTGATCCTGTCTCGCAATATCTACCTATGCTATCGAAAGATATCTAGCAGACGTAGAAGAAACAACAATTTTCCACCGCCTCCTCCACCTCCGCCTCATGTGATCCTCCAGGACAGAGTTGCTTTCAATGTCTCCGTCTAAATAATAGTAGATGCTGAATTCGGCTGCTCTTTCCAAAAATTAAATACGTCCTGCATCGTACCCAGAAAACAATCCGGATTATTTTTTTTCTCGCTTAACAAAAATGGTGGCGAGAGTTTTATCTTCAGTAGCTGAAAGAAAATTTAAAATTACTTTCATGAAACTGTAATTAAAGTCCAAAACAATATTATAAAACTATACAAACCATTCACAAAAAGGAAACCGAAGCCAATTTTTCCTACAAAAATAAAATAATAAGAAAAAGGAATAAAAATAATGGATTATGTAAACTTTAATTATACCAACCAGTGCATATAATCAACATTTCATCAACAGTGCAGCGAGTTTTCTTTGTTTTTCTACAAATTGTCCCAAAATTATTCAAATCCGATGCTGAACTCTATAACAAATTCAAGTTTTCCCCATTCAACATAATATATACTAGTTCCAGTTCTCTCCATAAGTAAAAGAATCTCCATGTGCCAAGTGTAGTTCAATAAAGAAAATAGCCTCTCAGTTCTAACGACGTGAGTGGTAAAAATTGTGATCAGTGCAACGATATTTTGAAATGTTGACTACATGCGATGAAATTCTACAAAAATAACTATGGTTAAAACAAATAAAAGACAAAATTTTTTTTTTGTATATATATACATGTATGATTTTTATACTCACTCTAATTGCTGCTACAGTCATACCCTAAGTTTAAATTTTCAGTTAGAAGAATCAAAAACAGGAAAATTTTACTGGGAATGGAGTAGAATAATTAATTAAAATATTCTTTAAAAAAAAAAATAGAAACTAACGTAAAAATCAAATAAACTATTCTACTAAAATATTTACCAACGTCCTCAAAGCCACTATTCTCTGCTCCAGTTAGGCTAACATTTTCTACATCTAATGGGAATAAATAGAAAAAAAATTAATAAATTAATTGAATTTTCAATAATTGAATTTAAAAAAAGAGAGAAAAAAAAGATTAATTATACAAGAATATATTTTTCAAATAAATTTCTTAAGTAAACTATATAAAAATTGTGTATCCAACATGTGTGCTTGTGTATGTTTGTGTGCAAATTAATTTTTGTGTTGTGATTAAAACTATTAATATCTTAATATCGAACAAATATAAAAACATATGAAGCGATTTATTCTAATACGTATGTATGCATACATGTCTGCGTAAAAAAAAATATAGAATACAAATTATATCAAAAAAAAAATATATATATATATATAAAATAAAAAAAATAATAATAAAACAATATATATATGTATATATATATATATGAAAAAGGGATATCGAAGCTCTACTCATCAACTCCGTAAACCACACGAAACTCGGTTCTACGACTTCCATATTCCGTGACGCGTAACTTCAGCGTTACGCACACTAATTCGTCTTCAGGATTACTAGGCCCCCCATAGCAGTCTGAAAAAGGAAAAGGATATGTGTAATCGATAAATTTTAAATATGCAAATCTATACAAACATAAACAATTTTACTAACACGGAGGAGGTCCATCAGACTCTTCCTGATAGACCCATCGGTTGTCCACCATAGTCCCATCTTCCCCCCTTACTCTTAGTTTTAGAAGCACTCCTAAAACTGTCTCAGTGTAAGGGTGTGCAGGTTGCATATAGTGGCGTCCCGATGGCACCCAATCTAACAAAAATAAAATATTAAAAACAGCAAATAAATAATAATAATACATAAATAATGATATATGTATCACTCACCATCATCCTCTGACAATCCAACTTCTGGAGACAAAACTACTAGGGCACAAGCACCTGCTTCTTCGCCTACACCTGCAAAGTAAATACAATATAATTTGCAAGTTTTGATACGTGTGTATTGTATTAATGACAACTTACCTTCCGAAAGTTGCATTAAATTTTGTGACTCCAGGTCACTAAAACCTGGATATATCACATTCGCCCTTGATACCCCTGTAGCATCCTCGATTGTGAAACGGTATCTAATACCGGTATGCGGGCATACATAGGAAACAATCCCTTTTTCAGCTCTTGCTGTAAAAACTAACAAAATCCCTAGGTTATAAAGTTTTTTCGATTCATATATTAAAAAAAAAATTTGATTGATGATAATAGTGCAATTATATTAAAATTTAAATAAAAATTATTACTAAAGTTTAATAAAAGTTTTATTAAATAATTGTAATTTATAAAAATTTTCTCAAATTTAATAAAAATTGATAAAATTCTATTTTTATTGTTCAATAAACAATTTCTGTTAAATAATAAAAATTATAACAAAATTTATTAAATTTAATAATAAAGCGCAATTTTAGAATAATTATTAATTTTTGGTAAATTATAGAAAAATTACCAGATAATTATAAAAATTGTTAAATAAATAAGAAAAAAAAGGGGCATAAAATAATTAAAATTTTGCAATAATAATGCAATTATTATTCTTCCTAATTCGAAATGATTTCAAGTCTTACATAGATTATATTATATTCATCTATATCGGATTTCCTCAAAATTTCTATATAGATTCTATACTGTTAAGCCTATATAGAAATCACATAAAAACCCCATATAGATTGTAGAACATTTGACCTACGTAAATAATACATTTAAGTCCTATATAGATTCTACATACTATGGCCTACATAGCGCATATATATATCTTTTATAGAGGTCCTATATTACTTAGCCTACATAGAAGGGATATAGTCAAGCGACAGATTGAGCATTTGTCATAAGATAGGCCGACCGACATAGATCCTACATTGAACCAACTTTAAATTTAATTTTAACAATTTTTCTTCAAAGTAATAAAAATTATTATTGAATTTCGTAAAAATTCGATAACTAAAACAAAAATACGTTAAAATCAGATAAATTTTGGTAAATTTTTATTGTTAAATAAACAAAATTATGGAATAAATAAATAAAAATAAATTTTTAAACTTCATTTTCTTGTAGTTCGTATCAATACCGAAATTTGATTACCACAATGTGACACGAAATTTTGAGATCTAAAACATGTAAATCGAGATTGAAAAATTTTTTTTTCTCTCCAAATTCAAAACATTCGAAAATTTATATAAAAAGGTACTGCCAGATAAAATCCTAAATATCTCGTAAACTATAAGCCTAATTAAAAAATGTCATTGATTTCAAAAAAAAAAAAATTCGATTTAAAAAAAAAAAATTACAATAAAAACAATGTAATAATTATTAAAAATTTGTTAAATAAATAATTTTTCTAAAAATTTATAAAATTATTATTGAACCGAATATTTATTAAATGCTTTAATTATTCTTGCTAAATTTTAAATTATTATTGGAGATTTGTATTAAATATTAAAAATTTGTTAAATAAACAATTTTTTTTAAGTTAACAAAAATTCCCATAATTCTTATTAAAATAAATATTTATTAAATAATTTATAATTCTTGGTAAATTTTTATAAAATTAACTAATTAAAAACAAAAAGATAAATAAATAAATATAAATAGATAAATAATAATATAATAATTATTAAAGAAATTGTTACATAAATAAAATTTTATAATAATAATATAGGTATTATTAAAACTTAAATAATTATCAAAATTTTATTATATGTACCAAATTTTATTATTAAATTTTTGAAAATTATTAAATAAACAATTTTTTTATATGTATAAAAAAAATTGTTGCTAAAAATTTATAACATTAAATAAATTTATTAAATAAACAAAACTTAGTAAACTTAAATTTTTTTAACGAAATTTCTATTAAATAAATAATTAATTAATAATTAATTTAGTTAACTAATAGATGTTGTTTATTAAATAAAAATATAGGAGAAATTCATTCATAAAACTCAGTATATACACTGCATTAAAATCCTATATTGTGGTCACTATGTTCGAACCCTAAGCATGTATACTCTATATATATACTGTGTACAAGGCGTGAGTTACGGCGCCGAGCTGGCTGTACGCGCACTCCTCTAAATGTGTAGCACCTATGCCTAATAGCGCCTTGAATATAAGAATCCAGACATAAGTTAGATAAATGATATTCAAATTCTAAATCACTCTTCTGAACGGAAAATTTATTATAAAATATTATTCATAAAGTTAAGAATAATTGAATAATTACTAAACATTTTAACTTTATATTTACAATGAAATTCAAATAAATAATTATTATGGTTCTATTAACAAATTATTAACAATTAAAATTTACAGATTTTATAATAATAATGGTTTAAAATTGTTTAATAAATAAATTTTCTTAAAAAAAAAAAAAAATAAATAATAATAAAAAAATTATTAGGTATTATTACTAAAAATTATAAAATATTTTAAATAAACAGAGATTTATTAAAAAAAAAAATAAATAAATAAAAAAAAAATAAAATGATTATTTTAAAAGAAGGTAATATTAATTGGAAATGCTTTACAATATGAACTGTTCAAGTTGTAATATAGTCATCGCGCAGGAGTTTTGTATAAGTATGTCTATATATGCTGTCATCAAGCATAAAATAAGGCGTCGCAACGACTATATACATTCTTCCCTAAGAGGATGGTATATATGTCTAATATCATTTCGAATCAAACTCAAAAAATTATTTTCAAGTTTTTCTTTTTGAAATATTTTTGTAATAATTAAATAATTGCTTATTGCCTTATATATGTGCTGTTTATCACTATTCTTTTATTAACAACAATTTGAAATTATATAGACATAAATTTTTGGAATAAATAAATTATTCACCTTTTTGGGCAGGAATTTTTTTATATAAATTTTAAACAAACAAAAAAAAAATTTTTTTAATTATTAAAAAAAAATGTACCACATATAAAAATAAACACATGAATGCATATATACATATAAAGAAATTAAGAATAAGTTTTTTTTACAAACAAAATGTTTAATAAAATAAAATGAAAAAAAGGCAATAATTAAGTAATTATTGTTACCTGTATGTATAAATGTAAAAGAGAGTATGTGAATTGGTATATTAAAATATAGAAATACTTTTTCTAATTGTTGTAAACAGTTGGTATAAAAAGGGGAGGGGAAAAGATTGAACTCACCAATTATCCCTTCCATGGTATCTTCCATATTTCCAGCCATCGTCCTTACTGCACCTTTCACACTATTTGTATAGAATAAAAATAGTTTTCCAATATTTTTCACTAGTCCAAAAATAAAATAATCTAAAAAGTTTTAAAAATCCACAACTGCACCCGATCACTTCACGAAATGAACTGATTTGTATCAGCACGAAGACATTGACACTGGGTCCTATACTGTAGCAGTGCTTAGAAGAGTCACCAAGTAGACACAATATTTAGATTATATATCGATATACAAAGTATAAGGAATGCTTAGGTCGAGACCATAAGTTTTTGAAGACGAAAACGGAAAAATCCGCGGTGGATTGTTACGAACTATCGTAACGAAATTATAAATTAAAAATAAATAAATAGTATAATAAATAATTTTCAAGAATAATTGAAAATTATTTAAGAATGAAAATTCAAAGTCGATGCAACAATGTATATAGGCACGTAATTTGAATCCCCGATAATCGCGCGCGTTGAGTGATACTCCACACACTCACACAGACTTATATTCTCGTTGCTTTTAAAGAATGTATCTATGGCTATGATATTATAATATAACTTTGTTAAACTGTTATATTATAATATATTATTTTATTGTACCTTATGTTATATTATTTTATATTATTATTTACACTATATTATATTATGCTATATTATAAATTACATTACGTATTTAACACCAATATTCAAGCTTGAATATTATAAATATATGCATGAAAAATATAATATAGCGTACTCACCTTATATAAAGATACTAAAATATTATTATAAATAAAACAATCATACTTTACTCATTTTTATTAATAATTTGCAGTAACTAATTAATTAATTGTATGCAAATTATTGTTAATTCATGATTTTTTTTAATAATGATAAATCGTATTATTATCATTGTTAATTACATTTACTAAAATTAATATTAATAATTAATCATAATTATTATGATAAACAATTGGATATATTACCAATACTATTTTTCTACTTATTAGAATCATCATTATCAAATATTATTTCAAAGAATATGCATTGTATATGCACGTATGCGTGTGCAGTATTTTTATCGTGTGTACGTGTGTTCATAGTGTGCCAAAGTGATATGCATAGATATGTGTGTACATTGTTTGGTTGCACATTTCTACGCATATTATAGTAACCAACAATAATGTGATTATTATATTGCAATTATTATATTTACGAAAATGTATTATTTTATAAGAAGGGAGAAAAATCGCATACGTCAATTCTATCTATCTTTCTCTCTCTTTCTCACGCGTTCAGGTGCAATGAGTCTCGCAGCGTGGATGCGGTACACACAGACACGGACTCCCCATAGCCTGCGTAACGCATATGTGTGAGGCGCTTGAGGAGTATCGCGTGATGCAAACACTGCCTTCCTTCCCCTATTCTTTTCCTTATAATACCTTCAAATTAAAAAAAAGGAAATAAAGATACAATAATTGTTGATAGCTTAAATTAGAACATGTCACATTTTCCAAGCACATATAAACTCGCAAAAATTAAGATTTTATTTTAAGAGGGTCAATTTTGTAAAAAAAAAACAAACAAAACAAAACGCATATAAAAAAAAGAGAAGAAATTTTTTGAGACATGTATGTCGTGCATATATGCATGTGTACTAAGGTAAATGTACGTGTGTATGCGTAAAATGTATATGCATATATAAAAAGGAAAATTGTTTCATTTTTAATATAAAAACGATAATCTGTGCAGAACTATGACCGCTCTGGAATTCAGAAAAGGTTGCGAGTTATACTTTATTAAAAACACACATATACACTTACACAAATGGAGATGTGCAGTTCCAACAGTGTCAACAAAGAAAAGAATAACAAGAATCATTGGTTCTGAGAATATCGATGGACGATGATCTAAGTTTTCTTATCGATACCCCTGAAACCCCCAGAATTCGTCTTCAGTCAATCACTTAGTACGTGTTACTGATTTTTGCATTATTTCTTTAAAAAGTGAACTTAGAGTTTAAACTGTGGAGAAAGCTCAATAACATACCTGCTGAATCACGATAGATTTTCGTTGAGCCAAGTAAATTAAAAGCAGTGCTTAAGGGGTTAGGGGTAGTCAGAATTTTCAAAAAATCAAATTTTTTTTTTTTGCATTTTCGTTAAGTAAAATATCTTAAAAATAATCTCTGAAAATTTCAAGTTAATCCGATAATTCGTTTTTAAGTTATTCGACAAATAACAAAGAGAGCTCGGGCCTTTGAAAGCGTTCGGGAGCGCTTGCAGCTAGTGTCAGCTGCAAGAAATCGGCTTTTAGGGTTCTATTGTCATCGATGAACTCAGACTTGGGTATATGTAGTAGTACCTAAATTAATATGGCCCAGGAATAGATGACTCGGTGTAAGTAATTTAATAATTCGTTTTTTTGTACGTAAATCTAGTGTGAAACTAAACGCGTTTTTCTCAAAACTAAGTTTTTTGAACTGGTGACAACTATAACTCGAAAACCGCTCAGTCGATTTTAATGAAATTTATACAGCTTTTAGAATACATAATAAACTCGGGCCTGATCGAAGGATTTTTTTTTTTTTGAAAAATTTCGATTTTTTAAGACCAATTAACTGTTGATTTTTTCCCAAAAATCTAGACAAAAATTTCCTGAGGCCGCCATTTTGTTAATTTTTGAAAAAAAAAAAAATCCTTCGATCAGGCCCAGGATTATTTATTTATAAAACTAATTTTTTTTATCCGATTGATTTCTGATTAATCTCCAAGGACTTATGATTGTCACCGCAAGGACCTTTTTTTGGAACTGGGTTAACACAAACAGCTGTAACTTCGGAAATAAAAATTTTTTTTTTTTGAAATTTTCGTGACTTCAAGTCAAAACATTGTTTAATAATACCATATTACTACTTTTGTAAAATAAAATTATTTAATAGCAAAAAAAAAATACTGAAAATTCTCATTTTTTCGTGCCTCTGACTACCCCTAACCCCTTAAATTTCTAAAATTAAAATTGCTGAATCACGATAGATTTTCGTTGAGCCAATTTTTAATTTTAAGAATAAGGCCCGTCTGCGAGCTGGCTCCAATTTAAATCTTATTTTCTTTGGGCGGACGTAAAATTAAATCGAACCTTGAACCGGCTGAGTCCCAATCGGTTGATCAGTACAGTGATAAATTATTTAATAAATTATTTTATAATTTATTAAATAATTTTTTGTTCTTAAAACCGGCCAGTCCGTACGGATTGTACCTGCGCCGCTTGTGTCTGATAGGGTACCGGTACCGCGGTTCGAGACGCGGAAATACGCACAACACCTTTCTTTCGTTTTGCCCGTTGATTGTGTGACGAGATCGCGAGAATTCTCCCTTCTCAACAAGCTCTCTCGACGGTAGTGTGTAAGAGAAATCTAGCCGTAAGTAGTAAAAACCTGTATCGTTCCAAAAACATTATTCTTTACAAAAGAAAGCATATAATGTGTAATTTTTGCAATTTTTACTTTGATTTTTAATAAATTTTTGTAAACTAAAATTCCAGATGTTCTATTCAATCAAATAGACCTTTTTATTTGTGCTGTCAAAAATAGTGTGGATTTTCATCTCAAAGCTAAGAAACATTATTTACAATCTAAAGATTAAATTGGCAGTTTCGTCTTCTATCGGCGATATAATTAATCGAACCCACATAAAAATAAACATTATTAAGTTAAATGTTCATTTTGACTTCTAATGGCAACTTGGTTCCTCTGGCGAATAGAAAATTTTAAGTAATTGTTAAAAATTATAAAAATTAAACAATTAATTTTTCTCGTTCCTAACATGTACTGTGCCGCTCAGCAGATTTTGCCCACCTTTGAGAATTTTACGCTTGGCGAAAAGTTTTATATTTCGGTTGCTAATAAAGATATAATAATGAGTGAGGACTTTTTTGAAAGCTTATATCTTCTACTTTTATGATATCTAAAACAGACATTAAAAAAAATTTTTTTTATTGTTTAATTGCTCAAAATAGAAATCCAAAATTTCCGGTTTTTTTTGTAATTTTAAAATCGCTGCAGTTTTTAAACCAGTCCTCACATTTCAATCGCTGATAAGCCATTTGAAAGCTAATTTTATCACCTTTAAAATGATTCCTTGTAAACTTTAATACGATAATTTATAACAAAGATATGGACAATTGTTTAAAAAAACTGCACTTTTTTTCAACTAGTCATAACTCAAGAACGATTGATTTTTGAAAAAAATTGTTGAGAAGAAAAATGTGCCTTTTTATGTATAGAATTAGAAAAAAAATATTTAGACATTAAAAAAAAAAATTTTTTTTTACATATTTTGAGTTTTTTTGAAAACAAAATTTTTTAAATTACTTATAAGTGGAGAACGGTTAGCTTTTGAAAAAATTCTTAATATAAAAAATGTGTATTTTTATGTTTAGAATTGAGAAGAAAATATTACGAATAAAAAATTTGTAATCTTGAAAAGTTTTTTTTAAAGCTAACCGTTCTCGACTTATTACTAATTACAAAAAGTGCTGATTTTCAAAAAAATCAAAATATGTCAAAAAAAAAAAAAATTTTTTTTTATGTCTAAATATTTTTTTTCTAATTCTATACATAAAAAGGCACATTTTTCTTCTCAACAATTTTTTCAAAAATCAATCGTTCTTGAGTTATGACTAGTTGAAAAAAAGTGCAGTTTTTTAAACAATTGTCCATATCTTTGTTATAAATTATCGTATTAAAGTTTACAAGAAATCATTTTAAAGGTGATAAAATTAGCTTTCAAATGGCTTATCAACGATTAAAATGTGATGACTGGTTTAAAAACTGCAGCGATTTTAAAATACAAAAAAAACCGGAAATTTTGGATTTTTATTTTGAGCAATTAAACAATAAAAAAAATTATTTTTTATTGTCTGTTTTAGATATCATAAAAGTAGAAGATATAAGCTTTCAAAAAAGTCCTCACTCATTATTATATCTTTATTAGCAACCGAAATATAAAACTTTTCGCCAAGCGTAAAATTCTCAAAGGTGGGCAAAATCTGCTGAGCGGCACTGTATATGGGTGATTCTCCGCGTAGCGCACGATTTGGTGTCTGAAACTTTAAAAATATTTTTTTATCGAAATGTAAAATATCAATACATATTTTTGAAGATAAAGTGTCAAGAAATAAATATCCATGGTGGGC